TACAGTTTTCTCACCTCATTGATCTTAACACTTTTGAAGAGTAGTGTCTCAATTCTCGCTTCTCTATCTTCTCATTTAAATGGGTATTAAGCATCTTTGGATGAAAATATTATAGAACATAGGAAATCTTCTTGTATATCAAGTCAAATTACATCATGTTATTATGTTACAGGAGGTGTTAGCCTGGATCATTGTAAGTTTACTTTATTCACTTAGTATTATCAGTATTAAGGACATTATTTGAATATGTGCTAACATCTTTCTCCTCAATCATCTGCCTACTAATTAAAAAAACAACTATGTTGTTGGTACAGTAAATGAAAGGAATGAAACTATTTATAAGTGATAAGTAGACAACCCCCCCAAACTAGGTTTTTCAAATTTCTAGGACTAAGAAGTGAATTTAGCAGGTTCACAGGATACAGGGACAATATGCAAATTGAACCATATCTCTGTATGCTAAAAATGAGCGTGGGGGTGTTCATGTAAGTTTGTGTACATAAGCACTCTGGTACACATGCTGCAGGTGTGTGCAGAAGCCAGAGTTTGATGTTGGATGTCTGTCTTGATTGCTCTCTACTCAGTTTTCTGAGATACAGTCTCACTGAACTGGAGCTCATTGATTCAGTGAGGCTTGTCAGCCAGTGTACTCCAGGAATCAGCTCTGCCTCCCAGAAAGCTAGAGTTGCGTATGTGCCCGTCTAACTTGTACATGTATCCTAGGGAGCCTTGTTCATCAGGCACGTTACCTGCCGAGCCATTTCCCTAGCCCCTGAGCATTTGATTTTTATTAAAGTGCCATTTAGAATAGCACCATCAAAAGACTTGTACTATACATCCAATTTATACATTTATGTAATATTACATGTTACATAGAAAATATTCCTTAAAGGTTTTGATTCAAACAAAGAATGAACAGTTGCTTTGGGTAACTGCAGCTGTGCCTGTGAAAAAGAACAGGGACATGGCTGGCAGAGTTCTCGGCAAGACTTCTGAGGAGAATCTGAATGGCATGAACGAAACTCTTACTTGACGTGCTTCTGCACACTTCCAGGTTTATTGATCAGATTTTAAAAATGAAACAGTCCTGAAAATAACAAAGCCGCAAAAGGCTTCTTGATGCCATTATGCCTTTCAGCATGAGTAGCAGTAATATTTAATGCACATTTAGAGTATTATTGATTTTTTTAAAAGTCGTCTTGTAACTATTTAAAGTACTCCCAAGATATATTTGATGTAAATTATTGTTCCTGTAGATCATTTTGCTAAAGTAATATTTTTATATAAATCAAAGAAATATGTTGTTAATCTAATATACATTATGGAAAAGTTTGTAACTAAGCAGCATTGCATCAGAGGAGTGAATACCAAAACACCTGAAAGCTTTCATATTCTTAAGAGAGGTACTTCACAACCTACAGGATATCCTTTATATTTATGTAGATAAAAGTGTACAGTATGCTGAGTGGAGTTCTTATTAAGAATAATGTCAACCAGGCATAGTGACACACCGGTCCTTTCAGCACTCTGGAGATGGAGCAGAGTCAGGAAGGTCACTAAGTCAAAGCCAGCTTAGGTGTCTTAGTGAGATGCTATCTCAGAGCACAATAACAAAAATGTTAAATTGTTAAATGCTTAGAGCCATACACAACAAAACATTCTTTTACTGAGAACGAATACTTTACTCTGCACTCTGTTAAGCAAAAGAGTAAACTAAAATCTAGACTGTCCCTGAACAGTCTCAGAAGACTCTATAATACACTGTGAGAAGTATAGCATGTGGGAGAGAAGATTTGCTTCTTCCACAGATGAGACCATGAAGTAGTATGTCAGGCTAAAATTTCAGCAGCTCTTTTTGTGACTGGTGTGGTCAAATTAATGTATTAATATTTATGTACATACAAATACATGTAGCATATAAAGTAGTTATTTAACAGTGGTAATCTTCAGGTAAATAGTCTGGGTTTTCTTTGTGGTTCTTCTAAATTAAGGGTCTCATGTTCCACAGGCTGGTCTCTGCTTCACTATGCAGCCTAGTGTGACCTTGAACTCCAGAGTCTCCTCCACCTCCCAGGGTATTACATGTGCATGTCGCCACACTTGGTGTATGTGGGGCTGGGAATCAAACCTGTGACTTCATGCAAGATTCACAAGCATTCTACCAGCTGAACTACATTCTTAGACCCTGAGTTTTGTTTTTGCTTAGGGGAAGTCAATATTCATATTTTTAAAAATTGCTATGAATATATTTGTATACTTAAAACTTTATAAACCAGTAACAGAAATGTCAATAAACAATTGATTTGTGGCCTTGTTGAGGATAATGGTGAACCATTATGGACTTCTGTAGTAAGCACATAATTCCTGTCTCTAAAACAGGTTTGGTGATTTCTTACCCTGATAGTTAGTTGGAAGGAGCTTTTAAAACATTGATGTCTGTATATTGAAATCACCCAAGGAGCTTTAAACATCAATGCCTAGGTACTAGGTACAACACCTGGACACTTTTCCTGGAATTTAATCCAACACCTGGACACTTTTCCTGGAATTTAATCAATCCAATAGGATTGTTTGAAGTTCTCTAGGCTACTAGGATATATTGCCACATTTGAGAGCCACTATTTTATAAGAAACTTAAAGGTTTTTCCATCATTCAAGTTGTTCTTTTTGAAATTGTTACTGCCTTGTAAAAAAAATTCATTTTACAACATGAATATTATTTTTCAAGTGATTTTTTTTTTTTAAAGCTTTGCTTGGGTAGCCAACCTGTCATTGAATAAAAAAGGGTAACGTACACATCCTCTGCATTTACCTTTCTGCCTTCTGTATTGTCACACATTCCCTAAGGCATGAAATAATTATATCCCTGCCCTGTACAAAAGCTGGTCATTATCAGTCTATTAGATTAGACTTTAAGTTCCTTATCTTTCCCAACTTGTTTTCATTCTTATCGCCTGTTACTCAGTGCTAGCGTCTAAATGCGATGCATCCTTACCAGCTCTTCCAGAGCACTCCTTTTTCATGTCTGCTTTTGTTTATGCTGTCTCCTTTGTTGCTAATGTTGATGAGTACAGTTCTGTTACTGTGATGAAATACCTGAGAGGGGAGGGAGGGCTTCCTTTTGCTCAGTTTCAGAGGGTTTAGGCCCCAAAGCATCAGGGCCTGTGATGGCACAGTACATCGTGGTGGGAGTATGTAGTGGGGGAATTCTGTTTAACTCAAGGTCACAGGGAAGCGCAGAGTGAAGAAGGGACTAGGTCTCCTAGAGCTATGTTCCTCAGTGTCACAGTTCACTCCTGATGGTTTCACAGACAAAATGGCTCTTTGGGGGACAGTCACATCACAGCAATAGGAATTTAACGATAGATACAGAAAGGATACTTAGAACTTTCTAGCATTGAACCATTAAACAAGGTCTGTTGTGGATACTTGACATAAACTTTCTCTCATGATCTTTATACCCGTGTCTGCAAAATAGTCATTTTCCTTACTGTGCAGATGGGAACTTGACATTTTCAGGGGATAATTAACTTGCTTAAAAGTAGTCTCAGCAAATATGACATTTCACATTTCAGATATATATATATATATATATATATATATATATATATATATATATAATTTGCTTTCCTTTCCCCCACTTCCCATTGCCCATTTGGTCATCATGACTTCTTCCCACATGTAGTGTGCACAGATATTTAATGTTTTCAGCCTTGCTTTGAATCCTTTGTAGAGGAAAATTTAATGACTTTAAAAGATAGGATAATCATTATCTACATTTACTGTGTCTGATCAGTATCAATAAGTTGTATAGTTTTACATGTATTTATATTTTAAGTCTTTTTCTGGTAAGTACTTAGCAGTTTTATTTTTCCTGAACTATAGTTCTTAATTGAAGAAAACCTTTTTGTTCTTTTCTTAGTACTGCACAAATTGACTTAGTAATACCTACATATAATTAACTGGGCTGTGTTTCTAGTTGGGGTTTTCTAAAGGAACAGAACTGACAGAATAGCATGCACTTGTGTGCTATTCTGTGTGCGTGCATGCGCGTGTTTGTGGAGGGGTGCTTATTAGAGTGGCTTACAGGCTGTAATCCTAGTAGCTCAACAATAGCTTATCTTTTGACCAGAAGGTCAAGAGTTCATTAGTTATTCAGTCAGTGAGCCTGGATGTCTCAGTAGTTCCAATCTGGTGCTGGCGTGGAGAGCTGCTGTCTTACGTCTCCATTAGAATTCTGAAGAAGTAGGTTCTAATGCCAGCAGATGAATGCCTCAGCAACAGAAAGATGGACTTGCCAGCAAGAGTGAGGGAGAAGGCAAAAAGCAAAAGCTTTCTTCTTCCTTGTGCTTTTATGTGAGCTGATGGCAGAAGGTGCAGCCCAGAGTTAAGGTGTGTCTGCTCATCTCAAGTGATTCCAGTCAAGAAAATTCTCGATGGGCGGTGGTGGCGCACGCCTTTAATCCCAGCACTCGGGAGGCAGAGCCAGGCGGATCTCTGTGAGTTCGAGGCCAGCCTGGGCTACCATGTGAGTTCCAGGAAAGGTGCAAAGCTACACAGAGAAACCCTGTCTTGAAAAACCAAAAAAAAGAAAAAAAAAAGAAAATTCTCCACAGGTGTGCCCAGCTGCTTGGGTTTTAGTTGATTCTTGATGTCATCAGGTTTTAAACCAAGATTAGCCCTCATGGAGTATAAGTGTATTCAACCATAAAAGTCAGTGCAATTGATTTTCTCCTGTGAAGAGAAAAGTTTCTAAATGTAGACAACTTTTCTAGATAAAGTGCAGCTGTACAGCCTTATAATCTTGGTATGGTAAAATGTTAAAATTTAACTAGAAGTTAATTTGACCAATGTTAAAAATATGACAAATTTGGCAGCATGTAATATTTTTTTCCCTTCATCTACTTCCCAGATATTATTAATATTTGTAATTGTCTCTTTAGGATACTGCTTTGTAATTACTTTGTTACAATCTAATTTGATAACTTTTCCTTCATTAGAATATACAACATGTTGTAGAAGTATTCAAGAAGTGGCTGAAGGAAGAAAGTGCCACTGCCTATCAGAAAATAAAGCAAAACATGGGAAATACAACCACCAAATTCCGCAAAGCACTCATCAATGGTGATGAAAACCTGGCTTGCCAAATATATGAAAATAATCCTCAGCTAAAAGAATCCCTTGATCCAAATACATCTTATGGAGAGCCCTATCAGCACAACACTCCATTACACTATGCTGCTAGACATGGAATGAACAGAATATTAGGGTAAGTGTTACTTTAAGCCCATTGATAAGTAATCAGCGGAAAGGAAAATATTTGTGATCTTTGAAAATGAATACTGGCATAGATCTGTGTTATGTGATACTATTCTGGGTTAAGTTTTCTAAAAACTGAGAGTACCCAAATAATTTGGTATGATTGTGATTTAGTATGATCTATATTGTTTCTGGATCAAACCAAAAGTTCTAATAGTGAAGGTAGCTCACACATACTTGTTGCTTTGAATGTATTTTTATCCAGAGTGTGATGTAGAAAATAGACAGATTAGACTACAGAGGAAAGTTGAATAATCTCAAGGTAAGAGTGGGCAATAGCCAAAGGGACCATTGCAGAGCAGTGTATTGTCTCAAGAGTGAAAGTAGTTAAAGAGATTAAGAATAATTCAGAGACATTTACCATTAGAAGTGAAAGACTATCAACAGCACACTAGGGACGAGCCCTTCCTCATTATCAGAAATTTATAAAACTAAGAACTGAAACGACAGAACTCTGATTACTGGAATTGAGATCTGAGTCATAGCTTAGCTCTGGGTTATAGGTATGATATCCTGAACTTCCTGGAAGGTCATTAATAGATAACTGTCTAAACATAAAATTATTAGCTAGCTAGAGGCTTTCTGTTTAAAAAGAAAAAAAAAAAGTGACACGTTAGTTTCCCCTCACCTAAGAATCAACCCAAAAGAAAAACCCTCTCAGGAAAAGCTGTCTGTTGTAGAGACTTAAGAAATAATACAAAAGTTGCCTGAATTATAGAACAGACAAAGTGACCTCTTTGGTCATTGTTCACATTCACCCCTTACGAGTGTACATTGTTTTGCAATGGCCCCTTTGGACCACTAACTGCCAACAAACCCTCTGGGAGGGAAGGAGCCTCATAGGCTCTTCCCCTACCCGTGATAAAATACTGAATGACCCAGTCTTGTTCAAGTCCTGTGCAGATCGGCACAGCTTTCATGAGGTGAGGAGTGAGTACAGTAGTTGCTATGTCATGTCCAGAAAACATGTTTTTGCTGCATATCTCCCTGTCCGCTAGCTCTTGCATTCTTTCCACCCCTTCTTCTGCAGTGTTCCCTGAGTCTTAGAAGGGGTGGTACATATCCCAGCTAAGGATGAGCATTCTGTTGTCACGTTTGGCCAGTTACGTTTTCTTCAGTAGTTGGTGCCCACTGCAATACAGCACTAGTCTCAAATGGTGAATGAGAGCTGAGGCCTTAGGCTGACATTTTCTCAAAAACTAATTAGATCTTTCAAGTAAAACAACTGCTGGTCTTTGATGCTTATGATAAAATTTGATCTTTCAAATGAATGCTAAAATTTTGAAAGACTCATTCTTTATATTCAACTTGACAATTTCCAAGTTCTTATATTCTAATAAAATTGGTAGTGATAAAAACCAATGTAATTTATTATATAATAAAGATAACATAGAAGGTTTCTGTAACTCAGTGAATCAGTATATTTCACATTGGTTTATAATTATTTAAAGTTCTGCACTGATTATAAAATTTTAAATGTAGCTTAGACCATTAGATGTTTAGTTAACACTACAAAAAGTTCACTCATAAGTTTTTAACTAATGTTTAATAATCTGCCACTTGTTAGATTTTTGGTGCGTTATCAAATATTAGCATTCAATCATTTAAAAAGGCAATTTAAAATTACTTTTCTATTTTTTAAACTATTTAAAGTCCAGATTTTGTTCATATACTAAACTCCAACCAACATATGTTAAGACAGACTGAGTCCTTTGAAAAACTCATCTGAGTGTTGGAGAAGCTAAAGGAGGAGTGGACAAAAGCCCCACCCCTAATCCAGAAACAATCTCTATTGATAACCACTTGTGAATGAAAACTTAGTTTCCTTCAAGCGAGTCTCACCAGGGAAATAAACTATTCTTCAGGGCAGGCTGCATGCCAGCAGTAGATACCAACAAAAGAATAAACTCAGTGCCATCGTTGGAGGTTCCTTGACTCATAATGCCATGTCAGGGCTTCTCCTTTATGTTTTGATTCTTTTATTTTTATTAATTTTTTTAAAAGTACCCTTTTGCATTGGGATATCCTCTACCCTCCTCCTTTTTTCTCCTTTTTTATTTTCTTTCCCTTTCCCTTCCCCCTATTTTATTCTCATACACTATTTAGACACTAAAGTTCATTTTTCTTGTGTATGTGTATGAGTCGTGCACATGAGTGCACCCAGACATGTGCCCCAACTCGTGGCGGAGGTCAGAGGACAACTTTGAAGAGTCAGTTCTGTCCTTTTACCATGAGTTCTGTGCCCGTAACTCAGATTGCCAGGCTTGTGTGGCAAGCTCTCTACCTTCTCAGTCATTTCACTGACTCCCAATCTTCTTAATTGAGTGATACTTCAATGGAAATTGGATTTTTAGCTCTGAAGTAGACCTTACCTTTAAAATTGTTATCTTCTTTGTATTTTTAGGTAGGAAAAAGTTGTTTTTATCCTTCCTTTCCATTTTAGGACTTTTCTTTTTGGTAGAGATGGAAACCCAAATAAACGGAATGTGCATAATGAAACATCTATGCATTTGTTGTGTATGGGATCTCAAATCATGATCTCTGAAGGCACCCTTCATCCTCGCTTAGCACGCCCCATGGAAGATGATTTCAGAAGGGCGGATTGTCTGCAGATGATATTAAGATGGAAAGGAGCAAAACTTGACCAGGGTGAATATGAAAGAGCAGCTATTGATGCTGTTGATAACAAAAAAAACACACCCCTTCACTATGCTGCAGCCTCAGGGATGAAAGCCTGTGTAGAGGTAAAGCCTGGTTTCTTTTCAGTATTTTGTGCTAGAAACTGTGTGTATTGATAATATGTGGTTGTCAGTGTTGGCTTTGTCTTAGCAGTTCTTACCTCTTTATTCATTGTAAAAGAACCAAAGCCCTTTATAAGTAGAGTTATTTCATTGTGTTAGGGAACAACAACAACAACAACCATGCAGCTTGCCAGCCTTTTGGAATACAATGTAATCAAGATCAATAATGTTAACATCTCCTAAGATAACAAAGTCAGCTAAGTACTGTCATACTGAAAATAATAGGGTTTGGGGTTTGGGTTTTTTTTTTTTTTTTTTTTTGTCTTTTTTGAGGGGTGATTTTTTTTTTTAATTGCCAGATTATGAAATTTAACAGATCTTGAATGTAGGGGAAAATGACATGTACGACCTATTGATATATTTTCTTTTCTTGATTTGTTTATCAAATAGGTAACTGCTAATAGATGCATTTGTTATACTCCTTTTTAAAACCTTGTCTTTAAAATATCTTGTTTCTTTTGAATCTGTGTTAAAGTATTCCTGAATACATATTACATTTTGATTTATAACTATCTTTATATAGTTTTATATATCTTTATAAAGCATCTTACAGCTTAGATTAAAAATCACCCATTTAACCCATAATTTCTTAAAAGACATTGTAACTGTCAGTGTCACAGCTTTGAGGGGGAAAGGTATCCTGGCAGTCGGAAGCCAAGGAATACCACAAAATCACACTGTACAACAAACCATACACAAGAGATTTATGGGGAGAGAAAAAAAGAGGTTGCCTCTGCTCAGGAGAGAAGGAACAAAGAACTGCGCAGGAGGTGGGCTTTATATAGGGTTTCTTGGGAGGCAGAGCTTTCCAGGGTGGCCTGGGATTGGTGGGATTTTGTAGGCTAATATTGGGGCAAACTCAGGGATTGGTGGGATTCAATAACCTGATGTGGGGGCAAGCCGAGGGATTGGTGGGATTCTGTGGCCTGATCTTGGGGCAAGTTCAGGGATTGGTGGGATTCTGTGGCCTGCTCTTGGGGCAAGTTCAGGGATTGGTGGGATTCTGTAGTCTCATCATGGGCTTTTTTTTTAATGGCCTTTAGAGTAGCCTGGGGCCTGGCCACTTACTTGCCTCGCGGGACTGGACCTCGCACTCAGAGCAGTTTGGGGGCAGGGCTTGGGGGCAGGGCCTGGCCGCTTGCCCTATAGTAACTCTATATAGTATCATCACTACTGTTCATACCACAGTTCATATTTTCTCAGCTACCAACATTCATGTTAATCCATACATAATTGATAGAATTTCTTTATATAGATGTACTTAACTATGAACAGGGCGCCTTATAGATTGGATCAGTCTTTTTATTCTAAAATTTGTGTACTTTATTTTAAAAATAATTCTAATAAAATTAAAAATATATATCAAAGATTTAATATTTAATGTGTCTTTAGTGTTACACTTTTAAGTTGATATCAAAATTATGAATATATTTTTAAAGATTGTAACCACAATTTCATTAGCATAGGTAAAGATCAACTTTTGTTACTTCTTGAACTCTTATGATCTTGTTTTCTATTACTGCCATTTGTTACTTGTTAATCTTTTAGAAACTTTGTCCTTTTGTTTTCTCTGTTTGTATCACCTTTGCCCACTAGTTAGTGAATTATGATCATTAACATGAATCTGTTTCCAAGCAGTGCTTTTGAACATTGACTCAACATGTAAAAAGATGTCCTAGGCCTTGGAGGGAATGCATATCAACAGAATTCCTGACTTTTTACACAAGCTTTCCTGAATATTGTTCTGCACTCCCTCCTAGGGAAGAATCTGTTGTGGTGACTCACATGTGTGGGACTCTGTGGTTCTTTAAATGTGTTAAGGTAGAAATAGCTTGTTCTTGTTAGTAGCAATAATGCTCTTAGTTTCTGCTTTAATAACTTGCTTCCAATAATTCTCAGTAAGCAATGTTAAGTAGAGGTCAGTTTTTAGTGTATTTACAATGTTGTGTGTATTAAACTGTTGAAAAACTGGGGTGGTAATTTTACCAGTATCTTTTGGTTGTTGTTCACAGAGGGGTATCTTATATAGTATTTGGAAGGTCTGGTGAGTGCCATGATATATGTGTGTTTCTCTTTGCACTGCTTAATCTACCAGCATAACACATCACATGAGCCACTCTGGTTTGGTGACTGTTCTGTTTTCTATATTGAGAAAAGCTTGTTGATTTACTGTAAAGCATTCCAAATGGAGCCTTATGAACACCTCACATATATTCCAGCATTTATTGACAAATTTTAGTGTAATATTTTGCCCACTTAAAGTTTATCACCAATGTCTTAACTATACTCTTGTTCAGCTTTAGGCCCTTACTGACTTTTTTTCATGCTTATTGTTAAACTAAAAGTATTTCCCTGGGAAGCATATATTAACTTCTCTACAGAGGCCTTATCTGTTTTCCTAGCATAAGTGCTTAAAAGAAACACATGATAATATGTAGCCTATTATGTAACTAAAGTTCCTAGAATGTCATGTATCTTATAAAATTTAGTAGCATGGGTAATTTAAATACTTTCAAACTTCTCTACATTATTGCTTACAGTTTTTATTATAAGAATAATAGGGCTAAGTTCAATTTCTATAATAATTTTTTAATATTTTTAATGCTTAGTGGTACTAAGTGTCATATAATGGTATAGGTTGAGTGAATAAATACCACCAGATATTTATTTTTCATAAAACTATGAAATTATCTAGTGATGGAAGGGGCAGAGATGTTTATTATTGGTCTTGCCTATGGGACTTTAACTTTTAGGGGATCATATTTATGGAAACATTTCTTCTCTAGTTGTTAGTTTTGGTTCTCTTCTTTACATGTGTTAGTTTTCTCATTGCTTTGACAAAAGCAGCTTAGGACACAGTGTGAGGTTGTAGTTAATGACAGCAGAAAAGCGTGATAGGGTGCGTGGCTCTGACTGTGGGAGGAGAGGGTCCATCTGGGACTCCTTCTTTAAGGAAAGACCAGCAGGCAGAAAGCAGACAGTAGGACCAGGCTGTAACATTTGAGAACTCACTAGCTTACTCTCCTGATTCTTGCTAGTGCTTTCTTAATCAACTGTTTTTCTTTAAAACAAAACAGCAACAACAACAGAAAACAAAACCCACATAAAATTAGAAAATCTTCAGGCCTACTCCAGTGACCCATCTCCTACAGGGAAACTCCACTCCCTAAAGGTTCCACATTCTTCCAGAACAGTACTATTAGTTGAGAACCAAGAGTTCAAACACCTATTTCATATTCAAGGTATATTTCACATTCAAACCACAACAGTATGTTTATTTAAGAGTAGAATTTAGAGAGTTATCTGGGGCTGGAGAGATGGCTCAGTGGTTATGAGCACTTGTTACTTCTGGCAAGGACTCTGGGTTCAGTCCCCAGCACCCACATGGTGGCTCACAACCAGCCCTATTTCCAGATCCAGGGGATCCAACACCCTCTTCTGAACTCCAGGCACTCACATGGTTCATAGGCATACATGCAGGTAAAATACTCATAAACAAATAAAAAAAGAATTTAGAAAATTATTTGACAGTTTCCTCTACATTTAATCATTTGCAGTTTCCTTATGGTTCCTGTTTTCTGTTTGTTTGCTTGCTTGCTTTTGAAATTAGAGTCTGTTAATGTAGCTCTGACTGTCCTGGAACTCACTATGTAGACCATGCTGTCTTCGAAATCACAGAGTTCCACCTGCCACCTGAGTGCTGGGGTTAAAGGTGAGCATCACCATACCCAGTTACGGCTCATCATTTTGAGCCATGGAAATGAAATGCTTATATCAGTACTCCTTCCTATTCTGTGTTCCATAAGTGCATGCACACACACATATACTCATACTCATGCATAGCATGAAAATTACAACCCCTTAATTATGTTGTTTTTAGAACCTTAAGGTATCAAGGTATTAAAGGCTTTGCACAGAATTGCACCTGTGTCTGTCTCTGCTGCCTTGACTGACTCCTTTGAAGTTTCCCTATGCTTCTGTGTTGCTTCTGCGTTGACTTCCTCATAAGTATATTGTAGCAGTCTCAAATTCAGTATTTCTGAAGCTAGACTCACTCACGTCTAGGTAATAGCTTGGGTATCTGGTTTCTCCTAATGATGCTGCCATTCTCTGCAAAAGCCTTTTTACCTTGGATTATTCACATATGTTCATTCTCATTCCCCACCTTTCCTATTCCTATAATTATAGTGTCTTCATAGAACAGAATTATTTGAGTTAATAAGTTCTTTTCTGTTAAAGCATAGATAGTAAATATTTCAGGCAACTTAGCCAGTGAAGCCTACAAGTAACTGTAGATAATATGTTAACATATAAACAAAGAAGGAAAGCAGTGTTCTGATACATTGTTATTTTGTGAACATTGCCAACTCATTTTCTTACAACTTTTATATGTCATGAAATATTCTTCAGGCTACTTAAAGTGTTTAAGATCTATACAAATTCATACAGAAGAGGCAGCTAGCTTGGTTTGGCCCAGCAGCCCCAGTTTGTGATAGCCCTCCATGTAATATAAAGAATTGGGAAAAGGAACTGTACCTCAAAAACACACTCACTCCCTCTCTGCCCCCATGGTATGTGTGTGTATATAGCATTATTGATATATCACATCCATTTGCTTTAATAACAGAGGGACATGAAATATTCTCTGTATGGATGCCCAGTACACAAAAATAAAGCTTCAGTAGTACATAAAACTGGCTGGAATTTAATGTGATAATACTATGGTTTTCTTTGTAGCTATTAGTTTATCTTTTCTGCTTTGGAATAGAAATGAACTTTGGTGAAGGGTGATGTCAATTAGCATAATCTAACAAAAACTCCATGACACTTCTCCCCTTTGGTAGACTTCCCCAAGGTAATCATAATCAGTAGGTCACGTTTATTTCTTTGAGTGATTAACCTGTACTAGTGGTTCTGTAAATGGCAAACATGACAGTGGTTTA